TGAAGCTCTGTTGTGTCACATACTTTGAGAATGTTGCCAGGAGAGACTAGTCCTTGGAGAGGGACATCATGCTTGGAAGAGTAGAGGGACAGCTCAAGAAAAGAAGACCCTAGATGAGATGGATTGACACAAACTGGTATAACTGGGATAGGTGTGTAGGAGAGAGTGAGACTGGCTCAGGATAGGACATAGTTCTGTGCTGTTATGCTATGAGTTGCAGGCAACTTGATACATAGCAACCAAAACAACCACCACATTATATTCCTTTTTTATCTGCAGGTATTCATCAATTTTGTCTCCAAAAACAGTTGTCTCTTTTGTTTGTACTGGCTCAATTTATTTACTGTGTAATGTGGGGCTTTTTATGTCACTCAAGATACATTTAACAAAATTTTATATAATAAGGAATCAGAATTGGTGGACGATCTATCAACAATCTGCGTTATACAGATGACACAACCCTGCTTGCTGAAACTGAGGAGGAACTGAAGTGCTTGCTGCTGAGGGTCAGGGACTGTAGCCTTCAATATGGATTGAGGCTCAGTGTCAAGAAGTCAAAGATTCTCACCTTGGACCAATTGGCAGCATCAGGATGGATGATGAAAAGATTGAGATTGTTCACAGCTTTAGTCTGCTTGGCTCCACAATCAACACTCTTGGCACCAGCAGCCAGGAAATTGAAAGTCGTATTGCGATGGGAAAGTCTGATGTTAGGGACATCTCTAAAGTACTCAAGTGCAACGATGTGTCTCTGGAGACTAAGGTGCGTCTGGTACAAGCCATGGTCTTTGCAATCACTTGTTATGCGTCAGAGAGTTGGACAATGACCAGGGAGGATAGAAGGAGAATTGATGCTTTTGAGTTTGGGTGTTGGAGAAGAGTGCTGAGAGTGCCTTGGACTGCTAAGAAAACAAACAGATTCATCCTGGAGAAAGTTAAACCAGGCTGCTCCCTGGAGGCAAAGATTCTGAGGCTTTGTCTGACATACTTTAGTCATGTTGTAAGGAGGGACTGGTCCTTGGAGAGGGACATCATGCTTGGGAGGGTGGAGGGCAGGCGCAGGTGGGGAAGGCCCTCTGGGAGACGGATTGATTCGGTGACTGGGGCAATCGGGATGAGTGTGTCAGAGACAATGAGATTGGCACAGGACAGAGCAGAGTTTAGAGCTGTTGTACATAGGGTCGCTATGAGTCGCAAGCAACACGATGGCACATAACAACAACAACAACAACAAGGAATGATCTAAATTTGTGCTCACTCACTCATTGTCCTAGAGTTAGAACTGATTCACAGTTTACCATCCAGCAGGTTTTGAAAGCTGTAAATCCCAAAGAAGGGACTTTTTACCTATCTTTCTCTCTCAGCAAATAGTCTTGCTTCTTTCTTTTTTAAAAATTGTGCTTCTATTTTCATTTCCACTTCATTTATGGTTTTAATATTTTTTTACCTTCCCTCATATTTTTCAATAAGAAGGGCAAAGGTAGATTTGAGAACTGATCAGAGTATATATAAATTTTTTGAAAGATAATTGCTATTGTTTTTAGGAACTACGGGTTGGTTCAAAAAAATTGCAGCCATCTATACCATAGAGCTAAACCCTGAGAAGTTCATGTCATACCCTCAAAAGCTTCCATACTTAAGGCTGCTACTGCAGCTAGTCTACCAATCTCTCTTATACAGAATTTTCCTTTTTTCTGCAGACACTATACCTAGTATGATTTCTTTCTCCAAGAACTTTCCCTTTCTGATAAAATATCTAAACTTAAGACAACAATATATGTTATACAGATGACACAACCCTGCTTGCTGAAACTGAGGAGGACCTGAAGTGCTTGTTGCAGAAGGTCAAGGATTGCAGCCTTCAATATGAATTGAAACTCTACATCAAGGAAACAAAGATTCTCACCACTGAGCTGATTGGCAGCATCATGATAGATGGTGAAGAGATTGAGAGTTTTGACAGCTTCAGTTTTCTTGGCTCTACAATCAACACTATTGGTACCACCAGCCAGGAAATTAAAAGGCAAATTGCATTGGGAAAGTCTGCTGTCAGAGACCTCTCCAAAATACTGAAGAGCAACGATGTCAGTCTGGAGACTAAGGTGCACCTGATACAGGCCATGGTCTTTGCAATCACTTGCTATACATCAGAGAGCTGAACAACGACTAAGGATAATAGAAGGAGAGTTGATGATTTTGAGCTCCGGTTCTGGAGAAGAGTATTGAATATACCACAGACTGCTAGGAGAACAGACAAGTCCATCCAGGAGAGGATGAAGCCAGGCTGCTCCTTAGAGACAAGGATTCTGAAGCTTCTTCTGACCTACTTTGGACATGTTGCAAGGCAGGATCAGTCCTTGGAGACGGGTGTCATGCTTGGGAGGGTGGAGACAAAGCACAGGAGAGGAAGATTCTCAATGAGATGGACTGAGTCAGTCACTGTGGAAATGAGGATAGACGTGTCGAAGACAATGAGATTGGCAGGAGATAGAGCAGAATTTAGGGCTTTTTTACATCGGATCACTATGAGTTGCAGAAGACTCAACGGCACATAGCAACAACAATAATTACAGTCTTGAAAGCTCTGGTGGTCTAGAAATAAGAATCTGCACTGCAATCTGTAAGATAGGTGGTTCGAATCTACCTTTTTCTGTGCAATTACTGCCTCTGAAAACCCACTGGAGGTCAGCTCCAGTTTGACAGCAAACAATAAACTCTTATTGAACAATTCTTATCCTTTTGGAGTAGAGAAGAATTTGGGAGTAACCAAACATGAGTGTTAAAGGGGTTTTGTTATTTCCTTGGTTTTATTTCTTTTCCATTTACCCTTCTAGAAAATCCTCATCATAAAAGGTAACTTGGTAATTTTCCCATTTCCTGAAGCTTGAAAGGCTATAAATAACGTAGAAACTGAAAGGGGAGAGGAATGTTGTTTTAATGGATAGGATATGGTAGTCTGTATATAAGTTAATATGAAATATAGAGTTGAGCATCTCTATTGCTGCCTTTTGAGATCTGAATCTGGTAAAATCTCACAATTATTAAGAGAGAGGAGGAGAAGCTTCTGGCTAGTTTCTTTGTTTTTGTTCTAAACTAACCAGTTATTCACTGAACCCTCCTTGAAGCTCTGGTTGGCCTTTACCCACAGTGATTTTTTTTTCCCCTTCAGAACGATTAAATCACATCTGTTGCGGCTTTGCTTTCCAGTAAACTTACACTCAACAATTATGTGTTGAATTGAAATTTTAAGAATTCTACTATTCAGAGCATTGTATTATTGCATTGAGTATTTCAACATTTCCTTTGCTGACTCTATTTTCTTATGATTGAAATGTCTTAATGTGCTTACAGTATACTATACGTTAATTAATGCATCTTGAAATATTAATTTCTAGGTTTTGGAAATGGGTAAGTAAAACACATACATATATTTCACTTCTTTTATCATAAATAGAAATTATAACTGGATAGTTATTGGTTACAAGTTAATACCTAAGTGGTTTATAATAACACTTTCATAGACTCTTTAAAGAATTACTGTGCTTTCTTAAGCCCTAAACTCAAAATCAAAATGATAGTCATTAGATAAAAAGACAATAATGGGGAGCTTGGCAACAAACCCATTATATATAAAATGAACAGTGAGACTAACTCCTCTAAGTGTTAGAATCCTACAATCTCATGTTATTTGAGCACTAAATATAATATAAATCATGAGCTTTGAGACCGTAACTTTAAGATTGTCCTTTAAAAAGAAAAGTTCTTCTTCTCCAAGGACATTGAAATAGTATTATTTTATTTACTTAAGCTAATTCAAAATAGAACAGAGGAAGTCATTAAGTGAATGAACTTAAATATCTTTAAATTAAATAATGTTTATTATTAAATTAAGCATTTTAAAAATAGCTTTAAAATGTATTCTCTTTAATGCCTATTCATGTCAAAATCATCTTCAGTGAGTAGAGATATCTTCAAAGGAAAGAATTACATTTGTCTTCGCAGAGGGATGCTTAATAATGTTGAGCAACTGGAATAAACTACAATACTAGTGATTATGTTATTTATGTCAGCCTTATAAGCCAACAGACAAGGTCCTTTAAAGCTGTCCAGGAAGGAAGTTTAACATATTAATGTGTCCATTTATACACTGCCTCTAGAAAGGCCCCAAATCTACAGAGAATACAGGGTGGACTATTTCACTCCCAATTTAGACAGCTCTCAAACTCCAGAGAAACTGCTCATTTAGCCTGAACTGCAGTTGAAGCTGAGTTAAACCTACTGCATGATGAACCACTGGGCCGATGGCCCAAGCACCAGAATGGAATATGAGCTACTGGATTGGACAGACTCTGACTTGTGTCAGAAACATTTTTGTTTGAAAAATAAAAGAAGCCTTTCCTGTAGCCGATGCTGGTCGAAATACCAATACACTTAGATTTTCTTTCAGCAGTTCCAAATTGAGGAAAAACTCTGGAAAAAATGCCAGAATTTGAGCTAGCATACTTAGCTGTTCTTTCAACAGATGTTAAATGTACTGCTAATAGCTGCTTTATTTGGTTTCTTAGAGCTTCACTTTACACAAGATATAGAGGTAATACTCTATACTCAATCTCTCAAAAATGCAAGGTCTTCTGCTTTATTAAGACAAGGAAAGAAAAAATGGCCATCATCTCTCAGTCCTGAAAAGAATTATGACAGTTTATAGAAGAAAAATCCCTTTTAAAAAAAGATACACAAAAAAGGATTAAAAAAAAATCTTTGTCATCTTTCTGGAAGTTCTGAATATCTGAATTTCCAAATTTCCCTTCTCCCACCATGAACTTTACTCATGATGAAACTAAGGCTTACAGAGACAGAGTCTTACTAAAAGTAACACATCCATTGCATTCAAGAGCTCATGAGGTCAAGTTTATAATCAAGGACATGATCCTTTTCAGCATATTGTCTACTACCCATGAACTCCACACTCATGACAACCCAAGACAGTACCTGAACAGTACCTTTCATGGTAGGAGGTGTGTACACACTCTGCTTCCTTTGCTTAGGAGATGCAGTCTGTGTCTGTGGAGTAAAAGACAACACAATAAGACCTGTAAACACATCATTATATCTCAAAAAGCTTCCTCACTTTACCTTGTCAAATGTGTAAGATGACTCTAATCAATATGCTTGCTCAGCAACATCACAGGCTGAGATATGTATGGAGCTTTATCATAAAACTCTCCATATATTAGTTTTAAAATTACTCTTTTCTTTATTTTTCTCCATACAAGCATTAGTTTACTTTTTAAATGAACAGAGAAATAGACACCAAACCTTTGTGAGAAAAAGATGAGTACCAATCGAAAGTATAGTCCAATGTTATGTTTGTGGAGTGATAATATATATTTAGGGTCTTGTTAAAATGGTCTAGGCAAGATAAAGAGGATTCTGGGAAAGTAGTATTCATGCCTAGCTCTGAAGTTTAGGAGTTCAATTTACTATCATTTATTTGGAATTATAATTCTGGCATAATATTATTTTTTATGCTTGAAATATGTCTTCTCCCAGGAAAATTGCTATTTAACACACTTACTTAAATGCAGTGGATCTGAAAGAAGTTCTTGATGAAAGGATTTTTACATTTTTTAAATCCTTAAATAGATTAAAATATCCCAGGGCCAAACTACTAGAAATGATAGAACTAAAATACATAAAATGTAATGTTGTTCTTTGCTGTTGCTATATGCCATCAGGTTGACTACATCATATCCTAACTATAAATACTTACAGTAACTCCAGGAACAACAGATGAGCACCTTACTTTCCTGCACCATCCTCATAGTTTTGAACATGCCCGAGCCCAACAGTCACTGTGTCAATCCAGTTTGTTAAAGGTCTTTGGTCGGCCCTCCACCTTTTCTAGCATGATGCTTTTCTCCAACCACTGGCCCTTCCTGACAACTTGCCCAAAGTGTGTGAAATCAAGTGTCACCATCTTGCCTCTAAGGAGCACGCTGGTTGCACTGATTCCAAGACAAATTTGCTTCCTTGTTTGGCAGTTTATTGGATACTCGGTACTCTTCACAACAACAAAAGTCAAAAGTAACAAAGCAACCTCAAGCAACCCCAATCCTCTTTTTTTTCTTTCTCATATAAATGAAACAATTGAAAAGACCATCAGTTTGATCAGGTGCACTTTAGTATGTAATGTGATGTTCTTGCTTTTAGCACTTTGGAGAAGTCCTTGACAGTAGATTTTATCAATGCAAAACATTTTTTTATTTCTTGACTGCTGCTATCATGGTGTTAATTGTGAATCTAAATAAAATGAAGTCTTAAAAAACTTCAATCTTTGTTCCTTATTCTATAATGTCAGTGCTGTTATTGTGTACTTTGAGTCAGAACTGACTCATAACTTGTCCTCCCGTGGGTTTTCAAAGGCCATAAATTGTAGGTGAAGGGAACTCCTGGTGCCTTAGTGGTAAGGAGATACACTGTCAACCCAAAAGCATGTGGTTCAAATCCACCAGCTGTTCTGCAGGATAAAGATGGTCAATCTCCTCCATGTGATTAAACTTCCTCTGATGATCTACTGGACAGTTGTCTATGAATTGGTTCCAATTTGGCAGTTCACATTAAAAATAAACTTCACTGAAGGAGAGTGTCCATTTTTCTCCAGAGGAGCAATTAGTACTTCCAAACTGCATGACTTTGGGTTGGCAGCTCAACAAGGGTTATGATGAATATCGTATATTACAATAAATATTGCATATTCTTTTTACTTGCCATCGAGTCACCTGAGAATCATAGAAACCCTATGCACAATAGCTCTGAACCCTGTCTTATCCTGAATCAATCTCAGTGTCTCCTACACACCTATCTCCATTACTCCTATTACTGTGTCAATTAATTTCCTCCAAGGCCTTCCTCTCAGACGCTGTCTCTTACCCTTCCAAGCATTATACTTTTCTCCAAAGACTGATCCCTCCTGGTCATATGCCAAACTATGTCAGATGAAGCTTCAAAACCTTGCTTCCAAGGGGCACCTTGTTTTCACCCTTTCCAAGACAAACTTGCCTTTTCCCTTGGTGGTTCATGGAATGTTCAATACTCTTCTCTAGCACCGCAGCTCAAAAATATCGAATCTTCTCTTGTCATCCTTGTTCAGTCTCTGGTGCATAGGAAGTAATTATGAAGACTATGGTCTGGAACAGGTCCATATAGCCTGTGACTTATACCCTAAATAAGATTGCACCCAAGGGTCCTTTTAAATTTTTATTATTTAGAGCTGCCTTTTCTCCTTGGAGCAATTGAAAGGGTCTTCAAAGGCCTGGACCTTCCCCACTATTCCCTGCCCCACGGCTCTTTTTAAATAATGTATTGGTTTATGCTTAATAGTATTACTTGAATTGTTTACAGGATTTTCAAAGGCCAGTTATTTCAGAAGTGGATGGCCAATCCTTCTTAGTTTGTCTTAATCTGAAACCTGTCTCCATGGGTGATCTGCTGGTATAAAATACTGGTGACAAAGCTCCCAGCATCACAGCAGCAAGCCACCTTAGGACAGTACTGATACACACACTGTACTCGACTCTGTGGATCATAACAAACTATTGCTAACCTTGAGAAGATCAGAATTCTAGAACACTTAATAATTCTTATATGAATTCTATGCCTAGACCAAGAAGTTATTGTACAGACAGAGCAAAGGAACACCACTTGGTTTAAAATCAGGAATGTTGTGCATCAGGTCTGTATCTCCTCTCCATAGCTATTCAATTTGTATGCTTAGCAAATCATTTGAGAAGGTGGTCTTTATGAAGAAGAGTGTAGCATCAGGATTGGAGGAAGAATCATCAGTAACCTGTATTATGCAGTTGACACAACCTTGCTGGTGGAAAGCGAAGAGGCCCTAAGGTGCTTGTTGCGGAGGATCAAGGTATGCAGCCTTCAATATGTATTACATCTCTGTACAAGTAAACAAAAATCCTCACCGCAGAACCAGTTGGCAAAATCATGACAGATAGAGAAAGATTGAAATGGTCAATGATTTCATCTGCTTGGATCCATAGTCCACACTCCCGGAACTAGAAGTCAGGAGACATAGCATTGGAAAAGTCTAATGTAAGAGATCACTCCAAAGTCCTGAAGTATAATGATGTTTGGGTTTGAGGACTAAGGTGTACCTGATTTAAGCTACAGACTTTCTAATCACCTGAGTACTGGACAATGAATAAGGATGACAAGAAAAAAAAATAAATGTATTTGAGTCGTGGGGTTGGGAGAAGAGGGCTGACTATCCCACGGACTTCTACAAAAACAGCTATGTCTTGAGAAAAATACAATCATTTTCCTTGGAGGCTAACATAGTGAAGCTCCTCACATATTTTGAAAACGTTAAAAGTAGCTATTCTTTGGAAAGGGATGCTTGGAAATGTGGAGAGTCAGAAAAGGAAAGGAAGATCCTTAATGAGATGGATTGGTACAGTGTCTATTACAAGGGAATCCAAGGTGTCAAGGATGTTAAGCATGGCCCAGGACAGGAAAGAGTCCAAACTATTGCTCATTGAGTCTCTGTGAGTCATTCTTGATTTAATGGCACTTTATGGTTCATATTACAAGGTAGAAAAGTGTATAGGGGTATCAGTCAATCAAGTCTAGCATCTGAGGCAATTATTTTAACTTTAAAAAATCAAATATTAGTAAGATACTTACTGGAGATTTTCCTAACCTTTCCATATATATTAGAAAAACTTAGGGGACAATGTTAGAAAGATCCTAGAAGTTGTTTTCCAAAACTGAAAATATGCAGCTTCATTTGTGCATGCCAAAGCTTGTTGTTAATTGCTGTTGAGTTGATTCCAACTGATGGTAACCTCGTTTGTCCAGAGCGGAACTGCACCATAGACTTTTCAACACGGTGATCTTTGGAAACGGGCATCAGACCTGTTTTCTGAGGTGTCTTTGAACTACCAACTTCTCAGCTATTAGTTGAGCACTTAACTGTTTGCACCACCAAAGGGTTTTATGATAAAAATGAAGACTTTTAAAGTATCAGTAAGGTGTATTTACATGATACAAAAGAGACTACTGAAAGGAAAAAAAAAATCCAAGTTTTTAAAGCCCCATCAACCAAACAATGCAAGTCCATTTTATCTTGAACTGAATGTTTTAATGAGAATCTAGGATTTCCAGGTGCCACAGTGAAAATGTACATCAATTATGTGAAATAGGTGGAAAATTGTGTTTCCTTTAACCCTTTGCTCTATTTTGTCACACATGATTAATTTTAAGTAACAATCATCACCAGGGTTTTATTTACTTCCTCACACAAACACAAAGACAAAGCTGAAAATGAATTCTACAGGAAAATGTTTATTCTTGAGAATAATATTAATGACAGTTAATGAATAAATTTTACTCAATATTTTGTGTAGATTTGAATTGGTGTAGATTTGGTGCATTTGAATTGCATGCTTTGCAGTTGGCAACCTAACTCCTCACCACTGAGCCACCGGTTGTTGCTGTTGTTATGTGCTGTTGAGTCACCTGTGACTTATAGTGACCCTGTGTACAACAGCCCTAAACTCTGCCCTATCCTGTGCCAATCTCACCATCTCCAACACACCTGTCCCCATTATTACCCCAGTCACTGAATAAATCCATCTCATTAAGGGTCTTCCTCTCCTGTGTTGTCCCTCAGCCCTCCCAAGCATGACATCACGCTCCAAGGACTGGTCCCTCCTTGCAACATGTCCAAAGTATGTCAGGCAAAGCTTCAGAATCCTTGCCTCCAAGGAGCAGCCCGGCTTCACCCTCTCCAGGACAAACCTGTTCATTTATCTAGCAGTCCATGGTATGTTCAATACTCTTCTCCAGCACCACAGTTTAAAGGCATCAATTCTCCTTCTATCATCTCTAGTCATCATCCAGCTCTCTGATGCATAGCAAGTGATTGCAAGGGCCATGACATGTATCAGGCACACCTTAGTCTCCAAACTGACATCCTTGCACTTCAGCACTTTAAAGAGGTCTCTAACTGCAGACTTACCCATCGCAATATGTCTTTTAATTTCCTGTCTGCTGGTGTCAAGAGTGTTGACTGTGGATCCAAGCAAACCAAAACTGTGAACAATCTCAATCTCTTCACCATCCATCATGATGCTGCCAATCAGCCCAGTTGTAAGAATCTTTGTTTTCTTGATATTGAGTCTCAATCCATACCAAAAATTGTACTCCCTGACCTTCCACAGCAAGTGCTTCAGGTCCTTTTCAGTTTTCAGCAAGCAAGGTTGTGTCATCTGTATAACGCAGATTGTTGTTGAGTCTTCCTCCAGCCCTGATGCCACATATCTACTCATAGAGTCCAGCCTTCCGGATAATCTGTTCTGCATAAAGATTGAAAAGGTACAGAGACAGGATACAGCCCAGGTGTATACTCTTCCCAATTTTAAACCATGCAGTGTTCCCTTGCTCTCTACTGATGATTGCCTCCTGGTCCAAGCATAGGTTTCACATTAGCACAATCAAGTGTTCTCAGATTCCCATTCTTCTCAGAGTTAGCCACAATTTCTTATGATCCACACAGTCAAATGCCTTTTGCATAATCAATGAAACAAAGACAGACATTATTCTGGTACTCTTTGCTTTCAGCCAAGATCCATCTAATATTAGCTACAATATCCCTAGTACCATGGCCCTGTCTAAATCCAGCCTGTACTTCTGGTAGTTCTCTGTTGATGTGCTGTTCCAGTCATTTTTGGTTTGTTTTTTTTTTATTGTTAATATAACTATATTCAAATTTACATGCCAACAACTAAAGTCAAAGATCTTTTTAAAACTCTGAAGATTTCTACAAACTTTCATGGTCTGAAGTGATCAGTACAATCTAATGATGTGCTCAAGATGCACTGATAATTACTAGTAATTGGAAAGCAAAAGTTGGAAACAAATAAGGACTGGCATTTTAGAAAGCACGGCCTTGGTGATAAAAGTAACAGATCATATTTGTATGTGATATTGATGATATTGTTCGATAATTTCCACACTCTGTGGGATCACCTTTCTTTGGAATGGGAACAAATATAGATCTCTTCCAGTCAGTTGGCCAAGTGGTTTTTCTCCAGGTTTCTTGCACAACTTGGTGGGCACATCTAGGGCAGCATTTGTTAATTTAAATATGTCAATTGGTATACCATCAATTCCTGGGGCCTTATTTTTAGCCAATTCTTTCAAAACAGTCTGAACTTCTTCCTTCATCACCATAGGCTCTTGCTAATATGTTGTCTCATTAAATTCTTCTGCGTCTGCCAATTCTTTTTGGTATAATGACTCTGTATACTCATTCCATCTTCTTTTAATACTTGCAAAGTCACTCAATAATCTGCCCAAAGCATCCTTATGTATTGCAATTGAGGGTGGAATTTCCTCTTCAGTTCCTTGAGCTTCTGAAATGCTGAGCGAGTTCAGCCTCTTTGATTTTCTGACTCCAGCTCATTGTACATTGCACTATACTTTACTTTGTCTTGTTGCACAGCCTTTTGAAATCTCCTGTTCAGCTCCTTAATGTCCTGATTTCTTCCTTCTGCTTTGGCTTCTCGGCGCTCCAGTGCAATATTCAGAGACCCCAGAGCTCCCTCTATTTCTAGCCTCTTCTTATTCTTATTTCCATCTGAACTCCAATGTGTAGGCAGGGAAGGGGTTTAGACTAACTGCTGGATTTGAATTTAACACATTTCTTGGAGACTATTTTCTATCTTTTTACTCAAGTTTTAGAAGACCTCAGTTTTCCCACTCTTCTCTTGGGATCTGTGTTAGCTTCACACATCAGAAGACCCTTCATTAAATTCAGACTCTTCAACCAAAATTCAATATTGCCTGGCCCCAGCTTGTGATTGTCACATGCCACTAAGGGCAATGCTTTATCTTTTTTTTATTCCAAATATAAAAAAGCTACATTTTATGTTTTTAAAGCATTATTTATAATAATGATTATATGCCTTAACAGCTTCAAATAGCTGATGCCTTCTGACATGTTAGTAGTTTTGACAGTTGTTCTTAGCACTTTGTAATTTGAAAATGAAAGTAGTCTATAGGCATAATTTTAATGTCATCATTTAACTATTTGTTTAGTTAATAAAAGCAAAGTACATAGATTTTACATCTCAGTTATAGTCATGTTATAATTTACATTAAATAATGAAAGATAATTTTGTTTTTAATTGAACATATATTTATTGAAAAGAAAACAAAACTTACTTCTCCCTGTGTGTTGTTCATCCTCTTATCCTCTATTTCTGAAATAGAAGTAGATATTATTTTATTAGAGAGGAACATTCTTTTCTATAATATCCACATTAACATATGGATATTAACAGATATTTTAAAATATACCAGAAATATTTAATAATTGTCTTATGCTTATACAACATCTAAGATTTATTTCAGCAGGTGGGAATCAATGAGAGCACAGTTTCTTTTCTTTTGAGGTAAATTTCCAATAAAAGTTTTCTAAAATAGCAATTAAAAAAAATGTGTCTTGCTGAAAATGCAGATTTCTCTCCTTGAGTAGTCCAGAAAAGATGTTGAGACAACTCTTGGAAGAACTATTGGTGTCTTCATGCTTTTACTGTCAAGGCATAAGGAACTTCCTTCTCTCGTTATTTTATTGTTGCTGCTGTCCCCAACAACACTACAGCTTTTGTGAAATTTCTCCAACTTGCCACTATCCAAAACAAACCTTTTCCCATTCAAACCTATCACCATGACTCTAAGGAAGGCAATATGCCTTTTCTCCCATCCTGTTTAAAAGAATGAATCAGTATGTAAGAATATTTCTATGGCAATGCTAGGGCGTCTACATAATCTCTGTAAAAAGGGACTACAGAGGCTAGCAAAAATATGATTCCAAAGAGATAGAACATAACAAATTGCATCTCCTTTCTACCTCCTCATCAATGCTGCATGCATGTACTGATTCTGTTTCTTCTTTAAGTGAATAAACCTTTAGAGATAAATAAAACAAGTTCTAGTCTGCCTGAGTGTTTAAGCAGTTGGTGCACTTGATTGCTAACTGAAGGCCAGTGGTTTGAGTCTTACCTATGGTGTCTCAGAAAAAAGACTTAGTGACCACTCTCAAAAACTCACCCATACACACTGTTGGTAGGATGGTAAAATGATACAACTACTCTGGAAGGCAGCTTGGTGTTTCCTTAAAAAGCTGAACATAGAAATTCCATATGACCCAGCTATTCCACTGCTTAAAATAAACCCCAAGAAAATGAAAACTGAAGTACTAATTAAGATTTGTACACCAATGTTTATAGCAGCTTTAGTCACCATCACAAGAACACAGAAACAGTCTATATGTCCAACCACAAATGAATGGATTGAGAAATTAGGGTACATTCACAAGATGGAATACTACGCAGCACGCAGGAGCAACAATTTTGAAAATCACCACCTAACTTGAGAAGGACTGGAGAGTATTATGCTAAGTGAACTAACTCAGTCCTAAAAGGAAAAATATTGTATAAGACCATTATTGTAGAAATGGAAAGATAACTAGTAAAACGTATATGAGGATCCAAGAGAGAGGGGGAATGGGGAGCAGAAGAGCGAGGGTGGGCAGGAGCGTAATCATAGGGTTGCATAATTTGGTGGGTAGAGGGGGAAATGGGTAAAGAAAATGGGAAAGATCCAGTGTAAAAAACAATGTATATTAACTTTGTAAATAAAATAGAATAAAATAAAAATTTTATTTTTTAAAAAATAACAACTCAGCCATTGTAAATTCTATGAAGTACAGATTTACTCAGACACATATGAGCTCTTCATGAGTTGGAGCCATCACATCTCTGAATTTTTTTCCACAGTTGCTATTTCCCTGGCATTTATGTCAGTCCTAAGACTGGCACATTGAGTCTGTGACCCAAAAATTGAATGAGGAATTAATTTTAAAAATTTACTTAGAGCTAAATGTATACCTACCATATAAGCCAATCATTTATAAGAATCTCTCAAGAGAAATGAAAGCATTTATCCAAGCAAAAACTTAAAATTGACTGTTCATAGAAACTTGTCTGAAAGACCTAAAAGGAAACAATCCAAATGTACATTAATAGTAGGTGAATGGAAGGAGAGCCCTACAATGGAATCCAACTCAGCAAAAATAGAATAGCAAAGAATGAACTACTGATGCAGTGTGACCTAGATGAATCTCATATAATTATTCTTCCTGAAAGAAGTCAGACTCTCCCCTCTCCCAAATATACAAAGTTCTAGAAAATATAAACTAATTTAATAATCACAGAGTGTATATCTGATTATCTGGAAACAGTAGTGGAGACTGGGAAGAGGTTTAATGAAAGGATTACAGAGGACCCCCAGGCAAGTCGTGGGAGGGCTAAAGGTGTTCATCATCATGAATGTGTAATGCTTTCAGATACAAACTTGTCCAACATATAAAGTAGCATATTTTAGATTTATGCTGCTAAATTAATGTAAAGTGAATCTCAAGTACAATGAATAAATAAAAAAATATGCTTAAAGGCAATGATAAGAAAACATATTTGGTGGCATGCAAAGATAAATAAGTAGGAAAGATTACATAAATACCTGTATGACATTTTTACTTTATAAAACACAGCTATACATGCAGAGATCATAAGAACGAATAATGAATACATATGTATGCAAGTAAGAATATAAACCAAGATATTTAATATAGTAATCTCAAAGTTACTATATAATATCCCTCATTTTAATCTCTATATTATTTGGGAGGGATATTTTTTTCTTTTTACAATTAATATTTATTACTTTTGTGAAGAAAAACTTCATTTGTGTGTATGTAGGTATGTATAGACAAATAGATCTTTCAAATAGATGTTTCTGTTAGATGCTGTTAAATTGAAAACAACTTACAGTGATCCTATGAACAACAGAGCTGAACCCTGACTTACCTGTGCCATCCTCATCATCTCTGACACACTTACTTGAGCCCGCTTCTGTTGCCACTGTGTCAGTCCAGCCAGCTGAGAGTCTTCTTTTCTTTCACTGACCCTCTACCCTTCCGAGAATGATGTCCCTTTCTAAGGAAAAGCCTTTAATAGCAATATGCTCAAAGTATGAGAAAAATAAATAATCTTCTTTAAATGAACAGTTGAGGTTCATGATCTGTCTGAGCATTTTAACAGTTGATGCACTTGGTTTTAAAATGAAGGTTAGTGATTTGAGTCTATCCATGGTGTTTCAGAAGACCTATTGATCTACTCTCAAAAACTCAGCCATATATTAATAGACTTGCAACACACACACAGAAACACACAACCAGAAGAGGACAAAAATAAATGGATGGGGCCTTCTAAAAATTAAGTTTCTGTGTGCATCAAAAACTTTTCCCAATAGAGGGAAAATCTACAGAGTAGGGGGAAAAACAAGTTTATAGAATACTACAGGGCCTCCACAAGAAAAAAAAAAAAGACTAATAACCCAATAACGAAATGGACAAAAGACGTGGAATGATTTTTCACAAAAGAAGACATTCAGATGGTCAGCAGACACATGAAGAAATGTTCAAAATCACTGGCAATCAGAAAGATGCACATCAAAACAACAATGAGATGCCATCTCAGCCCAGTAGCAGTGGTAAAGTTTAACAGGACAGCAAGCAATAAATCTTGGAGAATTTTTGAAAACATTTGCTGTCATGATGTGCTGGTAGGATTATAAAATAGTACAACCACTCTAGAAGGCAGTTTGAAATTTCCTCAAAAAGTTGAACGTAGGAATCCCATTTGACTCAGATATTGCACTGCTAGGAATATACCCCAAGGAAATTAGAAATGAGACATGAACAAAGAAATGTACATCTATGATATTAACATTATCAACCATGAAGAATGCAAAAAATCATTACAAAGATAAAAGAGGTAGAGGTAGAAAAGACTGAGATAATCTCAGAAGAGACCCTGAATACTGCACTAGAACTGTGAGCAAAAGCAAAGGGAAGAAATCAGAAAATTAAGGAGCTGAACAGAAGATTTCAAAGGGCAGCTAGGGAAGACAAAGCAGAGAATTATAATGAAATGTGCGAAGAGCTGGAGACAGGACTTGGTCAACATTTCTTAAGCTGAAGGAACTAAAGAACAAATTCAAGCTTCAAGTTGCAATACTTAAGGATGCTATGGGCAGAATGTTGAACAACACAGGAAACATCAAAACAGGATGGAACAGCTACTGTTAAAAAAAAGAGAGACTGCCACAACTTCATGTAACAACATATGTTCGAGGAGCAATGGTGAAGAAGGAGGAAGTTCAAATTGCTTTGAAGGAATTGGCAAAGAACAAGACTCCAGGAATACCAACTGGCATATTTTGGCAAAAAGATCCTGCACAGGATGTGCTCACCAGGTTGTCAACTGACTGGAAGATATCTATATTTATTCTCATTCCAAAATAATTCAATAGACTTAAGAAATTATCAATAATATCAGTAATATAACACACAAAAAAAATTATGCTGAAAATCATCAAAGAGTGACTGGAACACATCAACAGACAATTGCCAGAAATACAAGCTGGATTTAGAAGAAGTGGTGGCACTAGGGACATCATAGGCAATGTCAGATGGATCTGGGCTGAAAGCTGAGAGTACTAGAGGAATGTCTATCTGTGTTTCATTGACTATGCAAAGGCATTTTATTGTGTGAATCATAACAAATTGTGACTTGAGAAGAATGAGAACTCTAGAACACCTAATTGTGCTCATGCAAAACCTATACTTGGACCAGGAAGCAGCTGTCAGAACAGAACAATGAAATATTGTTCAAAATCAGTAAAGGAATGTGTCAGGGATGTGTCTTGTCTCCATACCTTTTCAATCTATGTGCAGAACAGATTATTCAAGAGAATGAACATTATTAAGAGGAATATGGCATCAGGAATGGAGGAAGACTCATCAACAATCTGCATTATGCAGATGATACAACCTTACTTACCCAAACTGAGGAAGACCTGAAACACTTTCTGCAGAAGGTCCAGCACTGGAGTCTTCAATAGGTATTGAAACTCAACAATATACCATGTTCTGAATAAGAAAACAGACACCCTCTATCCTTGAGAGGATGAAACCAACTTGCTCCTTGGAGGTAAGGATTTTTAAGCTCCATCTGAAGTACTTTGGGCATGTGACCAAGAGGGACCGGTCTTTCGAGAAGGACATCAGAGAAAAATCAAAGAGCAGTTGGATTCATACACCAGCTAGGATAATGGGAGTAGGTGTATCAGAGAGAGT